CCATAAAAGGGGGCGCGTGAGGGGCAGGGGAGGGGCAGCGCAGTTTCAGCGCGGTTCTGGGTCGGGCTGAGTGTCTGGTCAGTCGGTCGTTGGTTCGGTAAATTGTTCTCTTTTATCACCCATTGTGAATATCTGTTATCAGCACTGTTGTTGATTGTTTTTCCCTCTCCCTTGCTGTCCCAGTAAACTGCCCTTATCCCAACCCTCGAGGCTTTCGCAGTTGTTTTTTTTTCCGTTCTCCTCCCCGTCCCGCTGGGGAAGGGGTGAGTGAGCGGCCGCGTGGCGCTCAGCTGCTGGCTGGGCCTAAACCACGTCAGAAGCCCAGTGACGACTACAGCACGTTGTCTTGCTCCTAAGACAAGGAGGGTAAAGCCACAAGGATATTGCCATTTCCACACTTCTCATCTGGCAGGAAGGCTGAGGTTAAGAGACACGGGCTGCTTTCTCCTGGTCCTGCTGGGTCTGACGGTGCAGAAGGTTTCTGATGCTTGTTAGAAAAGGTGCTGCTCAGTGGGATGGACTTTGCACATGCCAGGATCTCATGGGCAAATCCATGCTGCAGGTAGGTGGTATGCCCCTTTGTTGGCTTGGCTGTACTTTTGTTTTACAAAATCTCTAAGCAAGTTGATTTTGTGCACATGAACCCAAGTTTTGAGAAATACCATGGCCTGGTGCTGCTTCTGTGACGCACAGCGAACAGGGGACGTCAGCTATTGAGCCCTCACCACCTCTCTTGAGTGCGTCTTCACTGCTCACAGCAAACTCATTTTTGAACAGACCTTTCATATCCTTTAGGGGTGGTTTCTTGGTCCTGTCTACCTGTTGCTCTAACAGGAAAAAGGATGCCATGTTTGATGTGCTCTAACTGGTCTGCTGGAACATAGGGGCTTCCAGTCTGAGTCATTTCAGCTGTGGTTTTACAAAAGCACAGGCATCTGGGAATGACAAACTTGATTATCTGGAAGTAGTGACCTTCATTATGAATACAGGACATCCTTTTAAGCCTTGTTCTGCTGCTGTGGAGCTTTACCTCTCTCCTCTCTCTCTCTCTCTCTCTCGCCTTCACACACACACACGCGCGTGTGCATCTTTCCATATGTATTTCATTTGTACCAATCCCAGTTTCTGCCTGCAGCTCTGCAATGGGCAGTACCCGGCGAGCAGGATGGCAGAGAGCTGGCTCTGTGTGCGCACAGAGCAGGACGGTCCCTGCCCCAGCATGTTTGCAATCTGAGCGTGCCGACCAACAGACAAAGCACAGGGGTATGCTGGAAGCAGGTGGTGGCTTTGAGGGATGTTGGCTTGAGGAAGAAGTGAGACAGGGTTGAGCAGTGTGGGCAGTGGTTTCAGTGTGCCCGGGAGCCTCCCTCCACTCTGCTTTATGGACCCCACCAAAAAAAAAAAAATCAAATCAAGAGAGATCAGAGTTACTGCTTTTGCCCAAAGCCCTGTAGGTGCTCGGGCTGGAAGCAGATGTGTCCAAGCGTGCAGACCTTGCATGTCCCTGCCAGTGTGGCTGGGGAAACAGATCCGGCCCAGTCTGCTTGGCTGGGGAGATGCTTGGGCATCCCCCACCCTTTGCTTGTTTTTCTCTGCAGAGAGTAGAGGTCAGGCACAGAAATGTCATCTTGCTGCTGTTGCTTCCTCTCTCCTTTTACATACGCATACTTTCTAAGGAAACAGTAAAAAAGAAGGAAGAAAAGCTAGATTTTCCTGCGAAGTGCAAAGACAGCAATACTGTGACCTTAGTGCATTTTACCTCAGGTAACTTTTTCTCCTTTTGTGTAAAAAAAGGTAGTTTTTACCAGCATTAGTACCAGTTAAAAGATGATGAAGCTGGAGAAGGGGAGATAAGATGTCTTACAAGGCCTTTCTATAACTTCAAGGAAGAAGAACAACATGAATGAACAAGAAAGATTTATCTAATACTGTACATCTCCTGTGCCACAGCTTCTCTTCTGTCTTCCTTCTTGGTCTATATCTGTGATAAAAAGCTGGAAGATTGCAGTGGCCACTGTAGCAGAGGGACAGTGTTGGGGATCATATGGTTCAAAACCTCACCACCCCATCTGCTTCATATGGGAATCAGGAATAAAGATTTTATTAGCTTCTCACATGTTTTTGGACCTAACTCCCATGCCTCCTCCCAGCTTCTTTCCTCTCCTTCTTTCCCACACCAACCAGCTTCAGGGCTGGCTTCTGGTAAGACCCCAGGCAGTGTTTTCATCCCCTTCCACGCTCATCCCTCTTTCGCAGCTTGCTCAAACGGCCGGCCATGCCTGCAGGACACCTTCGCGTGGCGCTGGCCAACCCCTCGTAGCTCAGACGTTGACGCAAAAGCAGATCCTGACGGTGTCTGAGGGAAGCGTGTCTCCTTTCTACGCGTTGTCCAACAGCTGTCAGCTACCTGCTCCCTGCTGGGGGTCCTGGGCTTGTGTCCCATCGCTGCTGCTGAGGCTACGGGGGGAGCAGAAGGATTCCCGTCTACCGCATCCGTCTCACTGGGATGGTGGCATGCGGGTGCTGGAGTTTAACTCTTTGGGTGAAGACTGAAGAGGACGAGGGCCCGCGCTGTCCCTCCAGCTGGGTAGACAGACCTTGGGGCATTTTAGTGTGCACTTCCCTTGTCACTGCATGTTGTCCCCATCCTGATAAAACACCCCCTCGAGAGGTATTTTCTGCCCATGGTTTTTGTGCCTGTGCTAGAAACGAGAAGTGCTAGGGTGAGAGCTGGGAGGAGGGGAGGAGGGCACGAGGGCTGTACCGAGACATCCCACAGCCGCTCGCTCACAGCAGAAAAATCCTTTCACCTGCCAGAAGCTATCATTAAACAAGGCGACACTGGATTTTTTTTGACCCTGAAAATGAACTTTAGGAGGACTTTCCTAGTCAAGTGCTTGCTGCTTTTATTTGCCAATGTAAAATGTGAGTTTTTCTTACTGGGTTTTTTTGTTGGGTTTTTTTTTTCTTTTTTGGGCTAGCATTGTTAAAATTGCATTTTAAACCATTTACAACTTGGTGGGATGTTACTGATAAGAAACTAGTTCTACTTTCCCAATGAGTGAAAACCTTTGGGTTATTGCTATTATTATTTGATTTAATTTTCAGCTGGGGGGAGGGCAGGGCCTTAGTTTCCTATTCCAGTTATAATAATCTGTAAACAGTTTTGGTTTTAAGTTAATGAGCCTTAATTTGACACATGTATAATGAGAAATGTCAGCATGCAGTTTTCTCTCTGCCCTCGAGGTAACTTGTACTGCATTAGAGATCCAGTTCATGGTGCATTATCACATGTAATTTCCTTTTCTTATCAAAAATGAGCAAATCTTTTGAAAGTGCAGATTATATTCTTCCATAAATATTAACAGGAAGAGTGATATATCTCAGTGTCTTCAGTAGAGGTGAAGAAGTCTAAGATGTGAAAACAGCAAGCAAATACATACATCTTTTATATTTTGCATATTAATGCTCTCAGTATTTTTTAAAATATTAATCTAAAAACTTAATGAAGGTGTTAACTCATAGATTAGAGAAGGTTATAAGAGATGGGGAAAATACAATCATGCATAGATTTTTTTTTTCCTCTGTTCATTCCACTACAGATTGTATGTATGGCTGTTTAATGCTTTTCTTTTCCTCCAGAACAAAATTAATAGATAAATAAGGAACTATTTTTTTAATTACATGATGTATAAAACATCTTCCCCAGCAGAAATGAAGATTATTCCCTTGAATGGAAAACTTCTTTCAAAGACTTCCTTACTTCTCTAAAGTTCTATGGGAGCTTTTAGTTTTTACTCTTTCTTGCGAGTGCAAGTGAGCTCTATGCTGCCAGTTCGCATCTTCCTGCCCCTTAGAGCACATTTCAGTTGGCATTAGCAGAAATGTTGTTTCATTAGCTAAATAGATTTCTAGTATCATATGTTTGAGATACTCGGCTTTCCATTAGCAAGATTATGGAGATCAGATAAACATACAGAGATGTGTCTAGGTGGTCGGTCCGTAGAGATGCCATTGAATTATCCTTGAAAACTTACATTCTTTTTTTTCTTTACTTCCAGATAGAAAAAATAAATGATAGTATCTGTTATGGAAATAAATCCTATTACTAGCTCTAAATACTCATGCGTGACTGAGCAGAAACAAGTATCAGAATTCAAATATTTGGGTATAATCTGTAATGTCACCTACAAAGAGGATAGCTGCTTCCAAGACTAATTGATAGCCTGATTTCAGAATATTTCATTAGATATGTCAAATATGTTGTAAGAAATGCAATAGTGAAATAACAGCCTCTCCTTAGACTAGGGGTGAATTGCCAGAAGCACTTCAGTATTCATTTTCTTGTTGTGTAGAACTATTTTAGTTCTTTGATTTTCTCTAATATTGTTAGTTTCATTAATTGGGAACTGGATTTCAGTTTCCCCTCTGTGATATAGTTTATCATTGTCCTAGATACCTGGAATGAAGGACTTTATTAAAAATATGCATAAACATAGTTTTTCTCTCTGTTGGGAGAAAGGCCTTAAAATATGTAAAATTAGAGCAGAATCTGCTCTATCTGGTGATGTGAAGAGAAGTCTCTTCCTGATGATTGGCTTTAATTGAAGAGGAATGAACGTAAGAAAACGACAAATGAAATAAGCCGTGGCTCTGAGCACACATTCGATTATCAGTGAGCTTATCCCACCTGACACTTGTGAGCACTTTTCTGCAAATTTTCCACCTGCCATGGAGATGAGGACAGTACTTCACTTGAAGTGACCTCCCAGCAAACTTTGGACTCCCAAGTCCCGGTTCACCAGAGATGGACCTTGCAAAGGCTGTGGAGCAGCCTGGAGGGGTGCGGGCAGGGCACCCAGGCGCAGCCTGGAGTACATCATCTCCACTGGTAGTAACGTGACTGATGGTTAGCAGCCCTGGCTTTCCTGAATATCCCCTTCAGCAGCCACATGCTAAGTGCTGCCCAGTCCTAGTAGTAACTTTGGGAAGCACTTGTTCTGGAGAGGGGACCTGTCATCAAAGGAGACCTGCAAAGAGAAAAGACTTTTTTGGCTTTTGCTTATCTCCTACTGTCTCCAGTGCCCGATCAGTTCGCAGGATGTTGTTAGCTGATTGTTTCTCCCCACCTTACTTGCCTCACTGTGATTCTGTGATACTAGTGATACTAGTTTGTGTTCTTGCTGTCCACAAGTGATGCTTGCAGGGATGGGTGCTGTGGGTAGCAGCCTGAGCCACGTGCAAAACACGCCAAAGTGACCTTATTTTCAGGAAGGGTTAAGTTCAGGGGGAGCCATGAATGTTGGCAACCAAAATCACTCCAAATAAGTCAGCCAGAGTATAAGCTGGCTTTTGAAAGCCGGGCTCTTAGCTTCCTCATCTCCCAGAATTAAACTAGGTGCTGACATTTATCTAATGAACAATCAAGGGGTGCTTTGCAGCAGGGGAAGAAAACAGCATCAGTAATGAAGAGAGGCAATTCAGAGGGGGTAGCAAGTGACAACCTTTTGGGTCACCACTGTGGCTACTGGCAGCACACTGACGGGCTGGCTATGCTTCCCTTTACAGACTCCGTCACCAGCGAGATTTACATGGCCGTGAATGAGTCAGCTTTTCTCAGCATTGCTGCTGCTGCTGGGAAGGTGTATGATGCAACATGGTTGAAAGACAAAAAAAAGATGCTTCAGTTAAAAAATAACAGTGTTAAGTACTATGTGAACAAGGAACAGTGCAGGTGTAAGATACTCCCAAACGGGACTCTGCAAATAGATCAGGTGGTGAAAGAGGACAGTGGAAACTACATGGTGACGGTTTATCAGGAGGATGGAAAATTAAAGGCAGAAGAAGCTATAATGTTCATCGTTCAGGGTGAGTTTTTGCTCTTACCATACCATTTCCAGCATAACCCTTGGTATTCCTGCGCTCTCCTACAACCTACTCATTGCCCCCCTTTCTGTTTTTGGGGGGACTTTTCTTCCTGCCACAGACAGCAGTCTGCCACTCTTCTCCCTTCTCTTGCTCCTACTGATGCCCTCTGGTCCCCTGCTTCTTTCTGGCTCCCCTCTTTGTCAGCCACCAGGTTTCTACGTGTGCCCATGCAAGCAGCCGTGACCACCGTACGTGTTGGCAGCGGGGTGAGCGCGGACGGCCCGTATGCTGCAGCAGGGCAGGCGGTGCCGGGACCCCTCGGGCCCTGAGCCGGGGCAGCACCGCGTGAGCGGGGCTGTGCTCCCAGCAGCACCCTGCTTCCAAAAACCTCTTGTGGGAGTGCAGCAACCTATGTGAGGTACGCCTGCGGCTGTGGCACTGTGCGTTTCTGGCACTTCTGGTGCTATTTATAGGCAGTGAGTTATGACTTCTGGTCCCTAGCTGCTGCTGCAGCAAGGTGAGCACCTTGTGTCGCATCTGCCAGCCTCCTGAGGAGAGGCCAGGTGGCATTAAATTCCTGTATTTAGGCAATGCTATCCCATTCCATTTTTGCTCTAATGAAAAAAAGCCAACAGTCATCTCCCTGGAGATACGCCACAATAGGAGTTGAATTTGCAGGGGGAGAGGACTCCTGCACCCTATCCTTGCATAATGTAACACAACAAATATGAAGATTGTGCTGTTCAAAGCACACTTAAGCACATGCCTGGGGATTTCAGCTGCACGGGTTCAAAGCATGAGGGCAGCCTCCATTCCTGTGCTGTATCTTCTCCTGAGACATCAGAGCAGTAGCAGTCCAAAGCTTTTGGGGTGAGTAGGGAAGAAGGGGGTGGCTCTTCTGCTCCTTTATGGATGCTGCCACCTCTCCAGACCACTAAGCTGTCAGGCAGTGTGGGTTTTTTCCTGACAAGAAAATGATTTTGCTGTGTCCTTCTTCAGCCAGTACCACACACCTCTGCTGGCCTCCTGCGTTTGTGGGCACCAGCTGGCACTACAGAAATGATGCTTTGATAAGGCAGCAGCAGCAAAGACAGCTGAAATATAGTTTCTGCACAGTGAGAGGCCCCATGGCTAATAGACTGCTGAGAAGCAAGAGTGTCCCACTACTCTGGGAATTATTATTGCAAACTGTCTACAGATTCAGTAAGTCATCACGGCCTGATGCTACTTACTTAGGCTTTAAGGCCCCGAGATGTCACTGGGGTGTCCTGGGTTCAATTTCAGGTTAAGGTTGCAACCTAGCTATGTGCTGCATCATTTCATCTCCTGTGCAGCAGAGAGGTTGCCTTACCTCTGATAGCGGAAGTAAAGTCTTTTAGTAACTGTCGGGTGCTAGAGTCATTCGTCAGACGGATTATACTTTGTTACTAGGGTTGGACAAACAGGTGTTTAAAAAAAAAAAAAGTTTAGATTATATTATCACACAACTCTATTACCAGGACCTGGACTTTGGTGTTTCACATTGAGGCGTTCCCCTGAATTACAGGTTATAGCTTGCAGAAGGGGAGCGGGCTTAACGAGGAAAGGGTGGCTGCGGATGTCACAGCGTGAACCTAGACTGCATTTGCTTATTGGCTTTAAAATTTATGTTCTCTATAACTTACACTGCTTCTAACTAGAGGTGGCTCCGGTATGTTTTTGTTAAAAATCATGGTTAAAAAGGTAGAAATTAATTTTTTTTTTCCATCTGATGTCCCTGCCAGTTGTCCCTAGTTTAGGAAAGCCCTGCAGGCTTTTCTGGCTTTTTCAGTGCCACCAATGATAGAGAATCTGGAACAGAAAGGTGGATAGCTGTTTGCAGGACATAAAAAGAGACAGAAATCATTTCTTTCTGTCACAACCTCATTGAGAGCTTAGAGGTGTCTGGTTTGTGTTTTCTGTTCTGTTTTTATGGGTTTTCATGCTGTGGCTGTCATGCTGGCTGAGTGCCTTTGGTAGTACATAAAGCATCGTAAGGAGCTGTTTGCCCTGTCTTAGAGGAAATCTCTCCTGATGGCCACAGGCAGATCAGACCCAACTTCATCTGCACCAAAACACTGGGGCCAGAGTTGGAGGGGGCTGTGGCTCCAAGTCCCTCCCATCCGCTGCCTACCCCAAAAAAACAACTTCCTCCCCTTGCCTGGCTGGCTGGCTGTGAGCTGTGGTGATGCAGCTCTGCTTTGCTAGGCCAAATATGTAGGCTAATATACTGCATTTTCTTTATTATGGCCATGCTACTTCTGTAGTAAAGTTCTAATTTGGTCTTCATTATTCTCTGGTCTCATTAGCTGGTGTTACTCCCTTACTGCTTATTGGGGGCTAATTTTCTGTTCTGCTTAATAATGGAGGTTTTCAAAAGGAGAAACCATTTCAGATGTGCCTGTCCCTTCTCTTCTTTTTCAGACCCTGTCCCTCAGCCAGTCCTCAGTGCTCAATGTGTTAATAAAACTGCATCTGTCATGTGTGAAGTGAAGCAGAAGACTAAAGATGAAACATTTTTAATGGAACTGACTCGAGATAAAAGCAAAAGCTTGCAAAAGAATGTAACGAAGTTGGAATTGCACAAACAGCCTTCTGGGACATTCAGATGTGTTGTTAAGAATAAAGTCAGCAAAAAAACAGCTGAAAAACTAATTAAGTGCTCAGGTAAAAAAAATCTGTTTTTGCTAGAATCCTCTTGGGCAGACACACAAAGCCTGACACAGTTGCACGTATCTGTGGGACTGGTCCAGGTGCCAGGAGCATCGATGGTTCCCGGTACCCATCACTGCGAGTCTAACGTCGCTGCAGCTACTGGGAGCTGATGCTGCTGTGGGAGCTGGGATGTGCGTTGTGCTTTCTGCTTGGCATTCCCCAGCCTTCTCACGTCTCCACCCTCCCCATCCCACTGCTTCCCTTATGGCATCCCTGTTCTAACAGCAGCAGGATGTGAGGTGGGCCATGCTCCTCCTGTTCTCCTGCGGCTGGTGGTGTTTTCCCCTATGCTCAGCAGGGGTTGCTGGAAGATGAGGAGAGGTTTTTCTGGAGTCAAGAGCCTTGTGGGGGCAGAGAGGCCTGTGGGGCGCACTGCAATGCTGCTTCCACCTGGGCGAAGTCTCCTGGGGGAAACTGCAGGCTGCCAGTGAGATCAGGCTGGTTGAGGGGTGAATGAAAGACAGAGAGACTCCTTCTCATCCTGTCATTTTCTCCTCCCCCTCTTCCCCCCCATCACTGCTGATTCGTCTCCCAAAAGTTGCCAAGGTATCTTAACAGACTCAAGTGGTGTCAACCATCACTGTGGTAGACCAGTGAAGTAAAGGAGAAAGCGGGGAGGCAGGCCTCAAAGTGTTTTAATTGCACACAGCAGTCTGCAAAAGGCAGAAAGGACTTCCTCCCTCATTTTTATCCTCCTTTATTCCTTCAAAACTAATGGTACTTCCCAAAGACTGACTTCAATCAACCAGTCCAAAGCCAAAGAGTTGATTTCAGTAAGATAGTATAAAACTACCCAAGCTACCACAACATAAATTAGCAGCTTATTTTTGGAAAATATAGCTTGGGATCGTCTCCTAAGTATATGAAGCCATGGCACTGATTTCAGGGGATTTGCTCTTGATTTACATCCTCATGGCGGGGAAATCAGTTGCACATTATTTTTTCTCCTCTCCATGACCATACCTATGAAGGTGGTGGTTGCTCGCTACAAGTGGATGTGGATGGGTGCTCTCACAAGGGGAAAAATAAGCTGCTTGGACTCTCCAGCTTGGCCTAGAAATCAGGAGGGAAGTTATGGAGAATTTAGCCGAGCTTTGGGGCTGCATGGCTCCAATGTACCATGGATTTTCTTACTCATTTGAACCATCATCTTTCCAAACGACAAATGCGGCAAAAAAAGTGAAGGAATTGCATTTTATATGGGCAGAGTCATGCTGAAAATGATCAGATAGGCAAAAGAAGTCATCACTCTACCCCATAAAAGTTTTGAAAGTTAAGGTAAAAACAATGTGGTGTAGTGTTCAGTTGAAACGTAATATTTCCAGTGTAGTACTTGGGAAAAGTCTTTGAATTTGCTGGGCTTGGGTTTATCCCACCTAACTGTGAGCACTTAAAGCACTTGCCTGGTCTAGATTCCCGCTAGAGCTAGTGGAGAGTGGGGGGCGGCCATGAGACTTGGGTCAGTATTTTCAATTTCCAGCTATTTCTGCCATAGCAAATTTAAGGAAAAGTCCAAGTCCCAAGGCCAGCCCACAGTGTGAGAAGGGAGGGAGCAAGCCTGAAGGTATAGAGGCCTTACTGAAGCAATCCAAGTTTTGCTGTGGCTGACTGAAGGGCAAAGAGCCAAAGGATGGGGTGGTCCCTGCTCTCCTCTGCGGACCTGGCCTCCTGAAGGATCCCACTGATGCCTAAAAATAGCAAAAAAAGGGTTGTTTTCTGCTGCATGAGTGCCTGTCCTGATGACCAATGCTCAGCCTCGTTGGTGTTGGGAAGGGGCTGAGGCACAGGATGTAGCATGGACTTTGGAGCCAGGCGTGAAAACATGCTGATGGATTAGCTCTATTTAAGGCTGGGCAAACTAGCCCAAAGACGTTGTCTTAATAAGGAAATGCGGGCTGGAGCTGGCCATCCCAGGGCAAGCATGGGCCTGCCTGCATTGCTGATGTAGGCAGGCATTAGCCATCAGCCAAATAGTTTGTTTTCACTTCTCACCCTTCAGAAGTGCTCTTATTTCACAGGGTGAGTTGGGTGGGAGAGTTTGGTTTTTCTCAAATTATTAACAGAGAAAGAAAATGTTTGCCACACTGGTCTTTCAGGTACAAATATAGCATTTCTCAGGCACCAAAAAAAACCCACTAAAACCATGCAGCACTACCCTTCATACTCAAACTGAAAACCCCTCAGACCTTTCTGTGTGGCGGCAAGACTCTACCAGCTCCATAGTAGATAAAAAATCCCTCAGCTTCCAGTCAAACGTCCTTCCAACCCTGCTGCCCTCCATGAACATCTGGTCTTGCATTTGAGGCCTATCACCTTGAATTTTGACCTTTAGCAGGCAAGGCATGCTTCAAGCGGGCTTCAGCTCAGCTAACATCATATAAACGTAACTATATGTGAATCTACCTGGGCTCAACTTGCAGCTGGGAGAAACAGGCATGGAAAGTGCAAAATACACCTCAGTGTAACATTGGCAGCTAAAACAGTTGAGAAGAACCACATCATTGAGGGTACTCGTCTTTTTTTCCACTGGGGCAGCCCAGGCTGATGGTGGCATTTATACTGTAGATATTTTAGCTTTGGTGTCATCACTCTTTGCCCTCCATGTGCATGCCCAGTGAATTTTAAGGATAGTACCAGTGGTGTCATCCCATTTGGAGCTTTGTTCCCCAAGAAGCCAAGGAAAGTGCACTTCTGATGGGTTCAGCTCCACAGCGCCAGTGCTCCAGCGTGAGTACTGAATGCCAGGAGGACAGCCCAAGCAGGAGGTGGCAAAGGAAGGCCAGCATCCAGCAAACCTTATCGGGCAAAAATAAGGAACACTCATATAAATTTTTGTTTGCCAAGAAAACTCTTGTTCTGAAACTGTGGGATGTTTTGTTATGTTCTTTTCCTTTTTGCCATTTTTTTAATTTGCGTACAGCCAAAAATTGAAGAGGAAGTACCAAAATACTATGAAGCAAGCTAGTCTCAGTGTTTTCAGCTCAGTAAGAAGTACTTAAAAAGTTTATTTTTGTTAGATGCTGAGCACTGTCTGGATGCTCATTGTCCTTAAAAGGGTCTATTGCTAGCAGGAACAGGGCATTTGTGGTAATTTAAATAAGATGAACTGGCACACATGAATGCTCTGGTTTCAATTTTCTGCAGAACTTGAATCCATTAGGGAGCAATCAAAATTCTCCATAATGAGGACCTGCAACTTTCTGCTGTGTACAGAGAAAAGGCAAAGGGTGGGCTCTCTCACTGAGACTGCCTTTACAGTCAATGCAGGAAAATACAGAATTCTAGGTAGATGTTGTGCAAGTTATTTCTTTCTCTCTAACATCCTTTTTCATTCCCTTAACTAGAGCTGCTGGAGCTTTATCTCATCTTAAGCATAGCAGGAGGTGCAATCTTCTTTGTCATCTTCGTGATTTTGCTTATTTACTGTATCAGGAAGAGGAAAGCAGAAAGGCTTGAAGGTGATGGTAAGTGTTTAAGAGGCTTTATGAGGCTATCCAGCCACCTAAAATCTTTGAGCTTCC